TGTGATTATTAATTAAAGGCCGAATTTCCTTAGAATGCAATTATAATTGCAAGTCTAGCAATCATAAATATTATCTATAAAGGCTGCAACGAACGCAGGTAATACAACGATTAGTACAATTTTTATCATATAAACCTATAATTTAATATGATATATAATATTATATAATTATAAATAAATTTTGTGTTCTATAAATATCACTAAAAACGTAATTGCAAATTTGAACTTGGAATTTTTGACAGGTATTTACAAGACAAGCTCTCGGAGAGACCCGGATTCCAAATGGTCTTCATCAAGGTAGGCTTACAATTACATCCTCATTTTCAGAAACTATATCGAATCCTTTTCTAAATATATCAAACTAATTTACTCTTCCCTCTGGCTGATGTTGTTCAATGACTTTTGCAACAACTTATCGAATTTTAGGTATTTGGCCGGAACAGCATAGAAGAAAAACCGGCGTCACGCGTTTTATTATGATGACGGCTATTATCTGTCTATTTAACTTCTTCGTTGGAAATGATTTTATTCATTTTAATGAGTTAACTAAATAATAGAACAGCTGCAAGTCGGAGTATTGTTGAAGCGACGAGTAAGATGAGCCATCGTTGAATCTTTATGAACAACATACTGCAATATGTTTAGAGTTGTCTGCTCTCTCTGCTACTGTAATTTAATTCTTTTTGAGGTAAATATGTATTGTAACGAAGCGTAGGTTTGATTGCTCCATGGTGGGTCTATGCGTGACAATGCTTCCGTGACTGCAAAAGCAGCTCACAAATAAATTATTGGAATTTTTTTCTGATAATACGTAACATATCATTGTCAGAATATGATTGGAAGATAAGCGAAAGGGTGATACGATTATGTTCTTCCTTGATTAACACGTTCATAATCCCTTCTACGTCAATACGTTAGTGCAAGTTACATATACAGGTGGTTTCATGTAAACTAATGAAGCATATAGGCACATCCTATATCCGCTTCTTTACACTTCCTCTCCGTCTTGTTTGGTGTTCTAGTCAGGTTCGCGACCACGAGTTCAAAGCACGAGTACAATACCAGTAACGTATCCAGGAATTGGAAATAGATGGGGCCCAGGGAAGTATTTTGACAGATAAAGGGTGTGAAATTTTATCAACTACTAGACGGCTGGAAATGGCACTCTAAAACTTGAATTTGAATATGATTTTTTTTCTTATATAATATTGAACAATTTAGAGTGGGAGGTGGGGCACCCGTTTAATTACATAAAAACATTAGGCCTCATATAATTGTTTTCTGAAAGTGTTGATGGGATAAGTTGATTAAATAAAATCCAATCCACTCATACACTCTATTCCAGTGAAGCTAATGCGGTCTAGGATCTTGGACCCTTCGTTAGGGACTTGGGAATGAAAGTGCTCCTTCGCGGCTGTTGACTTCATCCCCTACCGACCCTCGGGTGATTTACACAGTCTGTTTTCTTAAGTGATGGTTGTGATCAAAGTTTAATAATTAGTCTGGGGTGGTTTAGGTCCCTGTGTCTTTATTGATTTGGATGCGTGTCTATAAGAAAGCAAGTTTCATGTTTTTCTCTGGTCCCATTGTCAGTTTGATATCTGGACCAATGCTGTATGTGGTTGGTAAATTCAGTAACACGTTGATCGCATAGTTTCGTATAAAGTCTAATCTTCGTATCGGTACCAGAATTCGGGTGGATGAAGAGCTGTGGACAAAGCTTTAGGTTCGAAGTTTTCAATATACAGTAAATGCTCGAAAAATAGATAATACTCAAGGCCGTAGGAAGCGGTCCGGCTGGTCCGGTTTTGGCCTAACTAATAATTCACCAATCAATATTGTTAGCATGCCAAAATTGTCCTTTTAACGTCTTCAAAGATAAAGTCCCGCACAGTACGATATACATTCAGAACAAAAATTATGCCAACATTTCACTGCAATAAATATATAGATAGTAATTAAATTAATTACTTAATTAAACTTATTTATTGTGTATATGAGAGCAGATGTTCGAGACCTCGTAACTTGAGTGAGCACATTTAATTAATTCCAGACTATTTGAAATTTTTATTAACTGCGGAACGCAATATATATTAAAATGTTTTAATTTAAAAAATAAAAATTTTTCGCAGCGTAGGCAAGAAAGAGGCATTTTCGCTCAAGTATTGAATCCCTATGGGGCCTCAGTAAGGCACCCCTTCACAAACGACGCTATTGAATAAAGTAGTTCTGGTGGATGTGTAACTGAAGTTGAGGAATGGTTTCCCTCCGCCACCCCTGACCCCCCCCCCCATTAAATGGAAAGGGTTCTTGGCACCTATGTGGTTTTAACTGTGTCCAGTAAAATTCATTCCCTCAAGTTAACAACCTCGTTAATTAGATCTAGACATTGTTTTAGCATGCATACCAAAGTGTTTTAATGGTGCTTTCATATTATTGTACCTTGATTACAATGTAGTTTTATAGTTAGAATGATGTTTACACGGGAGCTTTAGTCCAGCAAACTTTGGTTGGTTGCATTTTTTTTTGCTATATTTTTTAAAAATTGGATATGATGTAGATTTTTGGAACATATAAATTATGTTCCAAAAATACGTCAACTTGACTTTTGTTTTCATTGTCATCACTTTCACCAATATATATATACATATATACATATTTATTATGGTAATAACCATTAACAGCATATGGCAATTGCATACAGTATAACTAGCTCTATCACACGTTTTTGTTTTACAGTACAGATCGGTTATTGTTATATTAATATGTATGCTATAAAGCTAAAATAATGGAAAATGGCAGCCATTTTACATTGTAATAGCTCAAAAAATGTGTACAATATTTAGTTAACTGTTGTTGTCATTGTTATGAGTGAATTTCCAATTGAATGCTGCATTTCAATAACATAAACTTACAATATTAGTGACAATTTTAGGAAAAATGGCGGCCATTTTGAAACTACTGGCAACCACCCTTACGTATGAAAAAAAAAATGTTGCACATACTTTTTTGATTTATCAATATCTATTCTACATCATATCCAATTTTTAAAAAATATAGCAAAAAAAAATGCAACCTCTGATATTGCTACATTTCGGACTGGACGACTTACTTGATTAGGTAAGCTGCTAATCCCGAGTCTGTTAATAGTTATTTAAGTAATAAATGAAAATTACATACAGTTTGGTGTTGTGTTCCTTTGTTTATGTGTCCAATTGGGTGTATGTCGTGGTGCTGGAGTTTAAAATGCATTAAAAACTTATGAACATAAGCTTATATTCAATTTTGTTAAATTTAAATTTAAAAAAATTACCAGCCAAAAAAAAAAAAAAAAAGCAAAAACACAAAACAAAACAAAACAAAACAAAAAAAGCTCTGCCCTCGTTCTATTAATAGTCATTTGTATTAAGTGCAAACCTTGGAAGCTCAATGATTTCAGGTATTGGCAGTTCGGTTAGGATTTTTAACGTAATGTCTTTTTCTAATAACTCCTGCGTTGAGTTACTTTCTCTGTTGTGGGATGCTCGTAAACATGGAAATCACAAGGCCTAAATGTATTTATTACTTTACCCGCGTTTTAAAATTATGCATGATATCTGTTAACACGTATTTTTTAAGTATGTACAAACGACATAAATTACGATTGACATGCATTTACTACTTTCAGCCTGAATATTGCAACGTTTCTTTCTGGTACGTGCCGCCTAGCTTAAGGGGACTTCCGGACACAAAGGAAAAGCAACTCCGCCTACACAAGGTAAAACTAATTATCGCAGTTTTTACCATTGAAAAAAAAATCAATAAATGTAGTGAGAATGCAATTATATCTCATTAGAATTAAGAATGAATTAATATCAGCGGTGGTCGATAATTTAGATGAATTACTTTATATCGCTGCACATGTTAAGATAATATAATAGGCCTATGACAATTTAGGAGACTCGATATAATGTCGCCTATTTGAGCAGAATTGATTAAAAACTGAAAAAAATGTTGTCTCATGTTAAACATGGACCTTTCTTGAGTGACAGTCAAACTTTCAAAAACTGAACAATGAGGACAGAGTCAGAAGTACGTGCTTGTCCCACGTACACACGTTTTGTACAACTGTCAGAAGAGCCTGTTATGTGTATTTACGACGCTGTAGTTTTGTGGGATTTTAAAAGCAATATCTAAGGAACAGGGCGTATCAGCCGGGATGGTCCATTATGTAGGTCGAAATGATAGCAAAGGTCCATAGAGCAATTTTTGACCTGAAGCTTCAGTGATGATCGGGCCTGAAGTACCTCCTTAGGTCCTATAGATATGATAGATTGGAAACTGATCATCTCTCAAACATTCAGCTTGGTAAAAAAAATGGTTTTAGATGTACAGAGTACACTCAAAAAGGCTACTTACAATGGAGATTCTCGGTTTCTGGTTCGATTCTATGTCTGGTCTATAGTACCATGAGTAATAATAGACCTTCTAAAATTTTCATGTATTTTAAAGGTTATATGTATTTAATAAAGTAAAACAATGTATAAAATTTCAACATAAACAAATAAACAGAGTAGGTCTTGAGGATAGAGATGTTTAAAAGGATAATCTTAAAACTAAATGAAATGAAAACGCGAATTGATTATAGACTTTAGTAGAAAACACAATGATATTATTATACCTTTAATTATTGATAACATAGATTGATCCAGAAGTACTAAGGTATCACAGTTAATGATAAACTTACCTAGAAAGAAAAATATACCACTTTAGTTAAGAAAGGAATGTTAAGACTTCACTTTCTCATTAAACTGCGCTCTTTCAATGTAGATGGTATGATACTTGACATATTTTATTCATCGGTTGTGGAAAGTGCGATAAGTGCTGCTGTGCTTGGTTTAATAGTTTAAGAAAAATTGACTGTAGGAGGCTCCAAAAAATTCTATTAATGGTTACCAACAGTCTGGTTAAAATGGTTAAAATCCATCACCTGCAAAACTAAGGGTTATCATAATTACCTTGTACCATACTCCATAACAAGTTTTAATAGCAGGCAGTACACTCTTTAAACTTGTTGAATAGACCTGAAGTACTGACAAAACATTTTAGTGTACCGCTTAATTTGTGTTTTAGTGTTTTTCTGCGATGTATTTTGCATACATTGTAATTTCATTTCGGACAAAATAAAGAAATCTGATCTTATCTAATCTATAATTACACTTTATGATAATGAAAAGTACATCTATTTAATTATTTATTTCAACTATGTTTTGTGTGAGTGGTCCATCCAGCCAAAGCTGATCATTTTAGATCCTCATGTATCGTCTTTGTTTTTTAACAAATATATATAATATATATATTTTTAATCAGATTGCACCCGCTATCAAGGCCCGGATGATGGCACACGGGACGACAATGGTCGGCTATCAACCACTCAGAGATAAAGTAAACTTCTTCCGAATGATCACATCGAACCCAGCGACCACCAAATCCGACATTGATTTCCTTGTCGAGGAGATTGAACGGCTAGGAAGAGATTTGTAAAGATACTATGAACAAATAAAATCAACTTTAAAATTGAAGCAGTTCAATCAATCAATCAATCAATCAATCAATCAATCAATCAATCAATCAATCAATCAATCAATCAAAACAATATGTCCCTGAGAACGTTGGTCCTATGATACTCAACATTCTCCATTGGTCTTCATCTTTCGCCAGTCTCTAGGCCAGCCTGGTGACATGATCATCCTAATATGTCATTAGGGAGCTTTCGATTTTGTGCGACGACGCGACGCTAGAACGGAATCACTCATGCGTGGCCGCCCTACCTGGCGTCCTACGTTCTCTGCATACGTAGATTTGACCAAATTGCGTTCCAGAATCTACTCAACGAGGTGACCTTAAAACGTCCTTGCATGCGTAGATGATTTTTAGTGACGTCATTACGTTCTACGTCCTACCGTCGTCGTGCAATCGATAGCTCCCTATTTTCCCACTCTGCTTGGTTTATACACAAGTACACATACAACATTGATGTCATTTTCCTGAATTTGTTAGTCTCGGTAATGTTTGAAATTTTGTATTGAAAATCTTAATCAAATTGGATTCCTTATTAGGTAAAATATAGAATATATAAAGTGTAGTAGCGCTGTCAGTGTTGCCACCCGGCCCTGTGTGTAGATCGACCAAAAAAAAAAAAAAACAAAAACAAAAAAAAACTAGTTCCTCTAGAAACATGAATAGGTGGTAACAATTGCTAAATGCATCATTTATTGACTGACTGACAATATTGAGGTGAATGTCATAAAGGTCTTCAATGTTAGCCACTTACCTTAAATATGTCACTTACTACTGTAGTAACAGTAGGTCGGTTGGAGTGGTGGTGCAAACATGGTGCAAGTAACATAATAACAATTGAGGTCAAAATAAACAAACCTATTTTTTGTTTAAGTAATGGGGGACATACGCTTCTAACTTCACGAAAACGTTAGGTACACCTGAAGTAAAAGGAAATGGTGTGATTACTCGTAACATAAAAAGTCAATAGATTTTACACATATACATATTTTGAGAATCCTAAATTCCTCCATTCAAAGTTTACATTAGGCCCTATTAAGCAAAAAAAAAAAAAAAG